AAAAACGCCAGAATCAAGAGATATAGAGAAAATGTGATGAAGTTGAGCAGACAGAACATCAGAACACAATTTTAAGAGTTTAACTGAGATATTATCTGATCCTAAACATTGTTTGTTTTTTAATTCAGAAATTGCCTTAGAGACATCAGCTACAGTAAAAGATATATTAGAAAGTAAATTTGTTGGTGCAAAAGAAGAAGACATATTAGAAGATACAGTTGGAGAAAAAGTTGTTTTGAAAAAATTAGAAAATAATTCTGCTTTAGAAGAATCTGTAGAAGCTGACGAAGATAAGTATTGAAGAAGAGGTGGAAAATCTTCTTCCGGTTTTCTATATTTCTTTAAAGATGACCAAAATTTTTTGCTATCCGAAAAAGATTTTAAAATAGAAGTAAACACGGCTTTTTTATCCTTACGTAAAGATTTTAATGCAGAATTACGCAGAAGTTTATATTGTTGAAACTGAGTTGGTTGTTGATGTTTATTTTTAAGTTTTCGAAATACTTTATCACGTTTGCGCATCAAAAGTCGTGTTTGCTTAGATAGTCGAAGTACCCTTTTATTTAAAATAGAGACTGTTTTAACTGGAATGCATCGATCAATCACAGTTGTTACATGATCAAGCCAAATTTTTATCGCTTGGTTAGGATCTTTACTTAAGAAAAAATCCTGCGAGATAAGAGCTAATTTTCTGTTTAGATCTGACAAATTAATATTTTTAAAATCAAGGATTTTTCTGGTTTGTTTAATTAATTTAGTTTGAAAAGGAAAACAAACAGAAAGAACTGAATGAGGTGATTTTCCTAACGGAGAGGTCAGAGAAGTACTAGGTGGATGAATATGAGAAGAGAAAAACACATTGTCTAGAAATGAATTGTGAATTGTAGTAGGTAGAAAGAAAGAAGGTTTAAGATCAAACAAAGAAAGAATAGCTTTAAGTCCTTGACAAGAGATAGGAGAGACTGTACGAACATTGAAATCACCACAGAGAATGAGTGAATGATCTTTTTTAATGCAAGATAAAAGAAAGTTGAGAAGATTTTCATAATAAGACGCTTTTTCTTTAGGACGTCTGTAAAGATTACACAGATAAAAAACTTCTTTATTAATACAAAAACTAAGAAGAATAGCCTGACTAACTTTGGAAGAAGAGATAAAAGAATGAGAAATATCTGAGCGAATATATATAGCAACACCACCTCTATGTCTAAGATTATCACAACGATATAGAAAATAGTTAGAAAGAGAAATATCACTGTCAGATATCTCGTTAGAAAGAAAAGTTTCTTGTAAACAAATAATAGAAGGATTGTGGTTGTTTATAAGAAGTTCTAAGTTGTCGAAATTTTTCGTCAGACTCTGAACGTTATGTGAATGTAAAAGAAACGCATTATTAGGGAAAAAGACAGGCGCTGCTGGATTTAGTTGAAAAGATGGAAGAATGGATGTACTAGAAGATATATGAGACACATTCAGACTGGTCAAAACAGACTGGTCAAGCATGCTGGCATCAGAAACTGGAGTTGGATTTTGTTGTGCAGGAAAAACAGACGAATTTAAGTATGACACAGGCAAAGAAGATGAATTACAAGAAAAAGAACAAGAAGAAATGTCACTGTTTATTGATACGACTGAGGGGACTGATTCTCAACTTAGAAACATACTTGTTTTTGTATTTTCTAATGTTTTAACTAATTTTGTAGTAAATTTTGATGTACCAGACTGAGTGAAATGCAGACCATGTCGATTAATATCATTCAATGTCAACGTTGAGTCGATAGATCTAAATTTTAATTCAGATGATAGATCTTCTAATTGAGTATTAAATGATTGTATTGATTCTTGTATATTTAGATTTTCATCAATAGATTCAGTTCAAATGATGACCACATTCTTTTTCTCATTGGTCAGTCAGTATCACCTAATACTAAGATAGCAAGTAGAGAGCATTATAGTAAAGTCTTCTATGTACGGGTGTTTAAAACAGTACATTGAGAAAAAGCAGTAAGGGATGTATTGCCATTAATTTCAGTACAGGAAGCACTCTCTTATGTGCAAAGAAAGCAATCATTAATCGACTTAGTGAATGCAGTTGTTCTGAAACAAGTCTTTCAACTGGAAATTCCAGTAGAGATAACTTTCAACCAGTGATACAAAGCTAAAAATATTATTTATATTTTAAATTGCGTCGCCAAATACTCAACCCGAACCCGACCCGACCCGACAGCATCTTAACTCGAACCCGACCCAACCCTAGGGTCGGGTCGGGTTGCAGGTCTCTAGTTACGTGTAATAGAACATCATCAGCAAAGCGGCGAGCTGTTGATCTTAAATTCAAAACAATGTCGTCTATATAAATAAGGGGTCCAAGGATGGATCCCTGTGGAACTCCACGATTAACTTTCCTTCTACTTGAGCTAGTACCATTTATTTTTGTTTCAATCGTTCGGTCAGGAAGATAAGAGGAGAACCCTTTCAACATGCTACTTGAAACGCCTTTTTGCTTAAGTTTATAAAGTAACCCTGCATGCTAGACTGGATCGAAAGCCTTTTTGAAATCTAAAAATATACCTCTAGTTAGTTGATCGTCTTTCATCCCTAACTCGACTGCGTGCACAAACTCTATTAACTAATTCACTGTAGAATCACGATGGCGAAAACCAGACTGTAACGGTGTTAGTAAATTATTCTCAGTTAGGTAATTGTACAGACGCGAATAGACTACTCTTTCTAAAGGTTTTGAAAATACATGAAGTAAAGTAACAGGACGATAGTTATTTGATAACTAGTGTTCCCCACTTTTATAAAGCGGAGTTATTTGTCCTACTTTAAATGCGGATGGAAATTGTTCTTTTAAAAACGACTAATCGCATATATCAGCTAGCGCTCCATTGATAATATCACTAGACTCTTTCACCATTCTAACGGTAATATCAAAACTAGTAGCTTTATTGGACTTTGTTTTCCGCAATATTCGCTCTATTTCATTTGGACAAATTTTTTCCTTAATATCGAACTTTTGTTGAGTCATAGGAAGAATGTCAAAGGGAATACTCCTGCGCTCATCTCTTTCGCTCATGGTACAAATCGACGTGAAGTGTACATTTAAAAGCTCAGCTTTGTTAAAATCTTCGTAAATCCAATCTGCTTTTTGTTTTTCAATACAGGTATTTCGTTTTGTTTACTCAGGCACAGCGCATGGCTTAATAATTTGTACCACGACAAAGAAGAATTAGATTGATGGTTAATACGATCATAGAACTTTTGCGTCGCAGGATTGCAGCTTTCTTCAAAACAACGCACGGCATCCTCATATTTATTCGTATTCACATCAGTTAGTTTATTTTTATAAGTTATCGCGAAGAATCGGTTTCGTATCTTACGCATATGTCTTAGATTTTCCGTAAACCACGGTTTATCACGTAGATTAATGATTATCGTTTTATTTGGAATAGCTACATCTGCTGCACCTAGAATAACTTTCGAAAGTTTTTCTACCTTGTCATTGAGCGTATTAAAGTATTATTCAGAATAAGAAGAGAGATTTTGAGACACTAAATAACGAAAGTAGTTCCAGTCTGTAACGTTACAGTTGAAAACTTTCGGTCGAGACAGACTTTTCTGATCATGATTTAATGATAGGACGATATGTAAAACACAATGATCGCAAGAGCGAATTAGTGGCGGTAACACAGAAACAGTTTTCACTAAAGACAGATTACTGGTACCAAACGAATCTAAAATAGCGTTCGATGAAGGCCTTGTGACTGCATTCACTAATTGAGTGGTGCCTAAACTATCAAAAAGATTGTATATTTTTTCTCCTTCACGTGTGGTAGGCTTAGTAGGACACCCCGTATAATTATGAGCATTGAAATCACCTGTAATAAAAAATCCATCATATTCCGAAATATCTACATTGAGAGAAAGAGTATCATAAATAAAGTTACAAAAAGGTTTCTGATTCCTCAATAGCAGAATCCGGTCTATATTTTACAAATAATAAAACTTTCTTTTTGTTAGTTAGTATTATTTTCAGAAATAAAACTTCTAAATCAACATGTTCAAGACTTATTAAGCGCGTGACGACTATGTCCTGTCTGATATACACTAGAATTCCTCCATCCCTCTGATTCAGGCAATCTTTTCTATAAATATTATGATTCGGTATTTGAATTTCTACATCTTCTGTCTGCGGTTTTAACCAGGACTCAACAACAGATACAATTAACCCTTCGACGATGTTCTTATTTTATAACTTCATCGGTGTTGTAGGGTCCACCTAGACCCATATAAAGAAAATTTGGGAAAATCAGCACTTTCGTTTTATTTAAGCAATCCATTTATGTACTAGAAGCCTTTACATATTCTTCTTATGGGCGTTTACACATCAGCTTCTATGAAAACTGTATTAATATAAACAATACGGGAAAAAACTTGTATGAAAGTGTTTTTATAACAATATTCAAATATAAACCCGAAAGAAGTGTATATAGTGTAGGTGATTCAATTTAAGAATTCATTGCAGACAAGTCACAAGCATCAGCAAAGACTTTTGGATTAGAATTTAAAGAACTCCTCAAGTTCATCTACCAATTATACGGAAACAATCTGTGACTAACGAGGGAAGGACACCAACTGATAAATCGCTTTTTAGCTCTAGTCCAGCTCACAACAGGTAATCGACTATGCTGATTCCGAATATGAAAACCGTTTGGGCCGCTACGCCCTCTAAGACCCGGTTTTTAGAAAGCCTTGGTTCTTCAAGCCAAAAACGTTTTTTTTCTAAACGATTTTCTGATCTGTGGAGATGAAAGAGCATATCGAGAAACCTATAAAAAACATATTTTCAG